TCTCTTAACACCATCCATATAGGATTTCTATTTGCCATATATATTTCAACCGTACTGTGATGTTTTACAAAAATTCTGAACCTTTCTATTCTCATTGCTTCTACAGATTGTGAATTAAAAATAAACATTTTTGCTAAAAGTATTATTATATTATTGATTGATTGACTATGACTTTTCAGATCACCCGGTAATGCTATCTGCAAGGTTAGTTCCAGGTAAATATTGCAATCCTTTAGACATTCCTGGACCTGTGTCCAAAAACAAGCTACAAATGGACAGAACCAAAACAAATGATCTAATGATTCTGTCTCTTCACAGCAAAACCTGCAGAGCTGGGAAGATTGTATCCCCCATATAAATAACATTCTATTGGTAGCAAGAATTTTATATAATAATTTAAATTGAAAGATTCTAATTTTTGAATCCGGTGTCGTTTTGCGTGTCAGTTCATAAACACTATGCCATGGGATCGGTACGTCAAAGATCTCTTCCCAACTATTTTGCAATCTATATGGGACGGCTGTCAATCCTTTGGTCCTTAAGTGAAACTGATATACTTTTTTTTTTTATCACAGTTTTCCTTAACCAATTATGTTCTTTAATGCAAGGCTGACAGACAAGTTCCTTACTTTCTCCCCCTTCCACTTTCCTCTTCCACTTTTGCGGTAAAGCTGCAATTATTTGGTTGTAATTTTGGGTAGAGCAGACATTTCCATATGTTTTTGTTAGCTGCATGTGCGACATAACTCCACCAGTCCTACCGATGATATCATTTACGAAGATTATACCTTTTTTAAACATTATGTCAAAAAATAAAGGTTTTTTGTCAATTAGTATATTTGAATTTAACCACAATATTTGTTGCATTATTTGTTCTGTAGTTTCTGGAGGATTAAACTGAAATTGCAACCAACTTTCTATGGCTTGTTTTAGAAATAGTGACATTTGGGAGATTATTTCCTTTTCAAATAACTGAAAGTGAGAGGTTGTAATCTGAATAAAGGGAAAAAGGCCTTTCTTGAACATTGGGTGAGACAATCTTACTAATTTGCTAGAGAACCCGTTTGGATTTAAGTATAACTTTTGTATGACTGAAGCTTTTAGTGATAGGTCTAATGCTTTAATATTTAATAATTTCTGTCCTCCGAATTCATATTCATTATATAAATATGCTCTTTTAATTTTGTCTGGCTTGCCGTTCCAAATAAAATTGAATATTTTTTTCTCATATAATTTAAAAAACTGTTCGCTAGGCGTAGGCAAGACCATAAGCAAATAGGTAAACTGGGATATTACTAAAGAGTTAATCAGGGTGATTTTTCCACAAATTGACAGGTATTTTCCTTTCCATGGTAGTAAGATCTTATCTATTTTTGCTAACTTTCTATTAAAATTTATTGAAGTGAGATCATTTATTTCCTTTGGGATATGTATTCCGAGTATATCCACATCACCATCAGACCATTTTATTGGTAAACTACATGGTAATGTAAAAATTGTATTTTTTTGTGATCCAATACGTAATATAGTACATTTGTCATAATTTGGTTGTAATCCAGAGAGGTTAGAAAATGTATCTAGATCATCTGAGGCTGTGGAGGGATTCTAGTTGTGGATTTAAAAGAAAACATGAATCATCAGCGTACAATGACACCTTTGTTTTTAAGCCCTGTATTTCTAATCCTCTGATATTATTATTGGATCTGATTTTAATAGCTAACATCTCGATGGCCACAATAAATAGATATGCCGATAGTGGACATCCTTGTTTCACTCCTCTTGACAGTTTGAAACTTTCTGAGAAATAGCCATTATTTACTATTTTACACCTAGGGTTACTATACATGATTTTGACCCATTTTATAAGAGATTCTCCAAAATTGAAATGCTCCAGGCATTTATATATAAACCCCAGTCGAACTTTATCAAATGCCTTTTCGAAGTCTGCTATGAATAGCAGGCCTGGTTTCCCATATTTTCCATAGTGTTCTATTGTTTCCAATACTTGCCTTATATTATCTCCAATGTATCTTCCATGTAAAAAACCTGTCTGATTAGAATGAATAATATCCGACAATACCTTTTTTAATTCTATGCGCTATACATTTTGCTAGGATTTTAGCATCACAACACTGAAGTGTAAGGAGCCTCCAATTTTGTAAATGGACTGGATCTTTATATTTTCCACTTGTATCCTGTTTCAGTAATAATGAGATCAGACCTTCTTCTTGAGTGTCAGATAATCTACCATTTACATAGGAGTGGTTAAAACATGCTAATAACGGTCCGCTTAGTATATCAAAAAAGGTTTGGTATACCTCGACTGGTATGCCATCCAACCCTGGAGTTTTCCCGGACTTAAAGTCTTTAATTGCATCCAGAAGTTCCTCCTCTGTAATTTCACCTTCACATGAGTCTTTCTGTGTGGCTGTTAATTTGACATTATCAATAGGAAAAAAAATCTCTACAATTAGCTTCAGTTAGAGGAGATGGAGGCGACTGAAAAGAAAACATATGCTTAAAGTACTTTGTTTCTTCCTTCAAAATATCATTTGGTGAATTATGGGTGACTCCGTCAATTGTAACCAGTTTCATTAAGTTCTTTTTGGTAGCATTCCTATGTTGAAGATTAAAAAAGAATTTTGTGCATTTTTCCCCATATTCCATCCAGTTTGCTTTATTTTTATAATATATTACACTTGATCTTTCTTGAATAAGTTTCTCCATTTCTTTTTGTTTTTCCTCTAATTTATTCTGAGCCTCTATGTTAGTTTTTATTGCCATCTATCTGTTCTGTTAGATTTTCTATTTCCTTTCTTAGTATAAACTCTTTTGACCTAAATTGCTTTTGTTTTCGAGATGAGTACTGAATTGCATGGCCTCTAAAGGCACATTTAAAGGTGTCCCATACAATAAGGGGATTCGCTGTACCTATGTTATGTTGGAAAAAGTCAGTTATAAATTCCTTTGTTCTAATTATGAATAAATTATCATCCAATAGGCTTTGATTAAATTTCCAATATCCTCGCCCACGTGGAAATTCAGTAAGAGTAATGTATATGCCTATTATATGATGGTCCGACCGCATTCTGTCCCCTATCAACACTTTTTTAACTTTTGGTGCCAACGAGAATGAGATAAGAAAGAAGTCAAGACGACTAGCTTGATTCAGTCTCCACCATGTATATCTCACTAGATCAGTATATTTAAGCCTCCATATATCTACTAGTTCTAATGTATCCATGACATTCACAATTTCCTTAAGAGCATGTGGGTGATTGTTTGTGGTGTGATTTCCTTTACGGTCCATTGAGCTATTTAAAACAGTATTATAATCCCCCACCATAATAATATTGTCTTGAGTTGCTTGCAGGCTTGATAATTTATTATATATATTGTCAAAGAATTGTGGATCATCATTATTTGGTCCGTAAAGGTTAATGAGCCATATGTGTTTATGGTCCAATAACATATTTAAAATAATCCATCTACCTTGCGTATCTATTTGGACAATTTGCACATTCGGATCGAAATTACTATTAATTAATATCATCACCCCTTTTGAATTTCTTTGCCCATGGGAGAAGTATATTTCCCCCCCCCCCCCCCCCCCCCCCCATTATTTTTTCCACGCTACTTCATCTCGAATTGTTGAATGAGTTTCCTGTATACAATAGATATTATATTCCTTCTCTTTGAGCCATGTAAATATTGTTCTTCTTTTGTTATTATCAGCTAAGCCATTACAATTATAACCGGCTATACTTATTTCACCATACACCATAATGAGATACAAGTTTCAAGTCTATTTATCATTATATATGTTTGTAAATTTACCAATAAAAAATAGCGTAATGATTGAGTGTCCATATAGCTGTACTGTGATATTTGCATTGCTACGGAGTAACCCTTCAATTGTTCTCCACTAATTCCCCCGCTAAAGCCCCTCCCCATCCCAAGTTGAGCCGTCATCCCAGTGATCAGCATCCCACCCACGTCCCTCCGTATCCCTAAGGCCCCGAGAGGCCAGGACCCATCCATCGAAAACAGCACACAGTGGCACCCACAAAACAGAAGCAGATTAACCGCCAAAAGCATTTCCAATGCTTTCACCTCTATATATATATATATATATATATTTTATTTTTTTTTTATTATGCATGTCCTATTTTCCATCATATGAATAAAAACTTACTAAAGTCCCTCCGTGCACCCTCTGTGAGCCCTCTGTGACTTTCAGGAAGATTTTAACCCACTTAACCCCAACATTTCTCAGCCCTAGTTATTTTGTTGCTTTGACAAAGTAATTTCTGAAGATTATTATTAATTTAATGTGATTCATTTTAAGAAAAAAATTATAAACCTGTCCCTCATTTTAAGGTCAACCCTGTTACGTGAACTGAACTCTCGTTTTAATATAGTGAAACTATTCCTTTAAAAAAAATCTAAAAGAAACATTGAACATCTAATAGTCAAATCATAGTGTAAAAGCAGGTTCTACACTTTTTGGACATTTTCTGGTGTTTTGTGGCGGTAAACTGAGTGGGTTGAGCATAACACGTCAACCCTGTTACCCATAGAAGCTAGAAATGTTTTAACAATTGTTAATTTTTTTGTGTGGAGTTTGCATTCATTTGGCCCTTACTGTTGCTCACAAAAATCGTAAAATTTTAATGGAAACCTATAACAGTAAGGTACTTAAATGTTACCCAGAAATTATTTATTGAGATAAAAAAAGGCTGCATTGGGCCTTTTAACTTTATAAAAATATACATAGTGGGTACTAGTATGAAAACATCCATTTTGTCACCATGAAGCCATTGACTTCAAGAATGTAGAAATGTCATAAGTTGATTACAGTAATCAAAAAGGTAAGTTTTAGCATTGTACAAAAGTGGCACTAAAAATAGTTCATTATTGCTTTGCTGGGCCAACCCAGGAGTCCATGCGTTGTCTGTCTGCTCTCCTGTCACATGGGCTGGATGCTGGACTGTCACTGGTCACATCTCATTGCCCGTCACACTGCATGGCACTGTTGATTGGCTGAGGGAAGGCATCTGGATCTGATTGGCTGTGCTGTGCACAAAGGTGGACTTTAACTCGTTAGTATTGGTGGCTGTGTATGAGTCAGAGGGGTGAGGCAGAGGGTAAGGACTGGCCCCTCCTGAGGCCTGACTCCCCCATGGCCTCCACTCTGACCTCCCCCTCTGGAGGAGGGGGCCATTGGCTGCGCTCTGAGGGCCAGGGTTGGGGCTTCCGCCGGCAGGCCCCTTCGCCTCGTACACCCCCCAGCTCAGTCCATTCAGCATGGAGGACTGGCCCAGGTGCTCAGCCAGGATCAGGGGCTGCCGGTCCTCCTCCTCACAGATGGCAAAAACAGGGACACTGACGTGGTCGTTCTCGGCTGGGAAATCACAGCGCTTCCCACCCTGCACCCCTTCCGGCTGCCCCTGCCCAGAGGTACTGTTACTGGGCTGGGACGGGGAGGCCTGGAGGAGGGGGCCCCCGGGGGTCTTGGTGCTCTCTGAGGGACTGGACCCAGAGAGCAGGCCAAAGCAGGGCCCGGTGAAGCGGGAGCGCCGCATGTTGCTCGTGGAGTTTAGGCGGCGCTGCCTCTGGGCGGGCTGGGTGAGGGGGTACGAGGCATTACTCATGGAGGAGTCAGAGGCGTTACTGTCGTCCTGGGTCTCCAGCTGGGGGTCGGAGAATACCTTCCTGCTGTCCTCCCCACGGCAGTCTGACACGAAGCTGGATGGGGCCTGGGGGGAACAACATCTAGTCAGCACATATCTGCATTGCAACATGACACTCATTGTTTTTTGCATCTGCGCTGAGTCTTGAAAAATGAGATATCAAAATAATCCACATAGAAACATACATGACTGTAATTCAATCTGGGTAAAAGTGTCTGCTAAATATCAAATGTAAAGAAATACAGTTTATGATGGTGTGACTATTATTCAACAACACTACTGAAAGACCAATAACATATGAGCTACTAACGCTGTCCACCAGCTTAGTGAAGGGACTGGTGGAGTTCCAACTGCACCACTTCTTGTGTAACTGGGGCAGTGGAGGGAGGAAGTCCTGGAAAGTGCGGACGCTCCAGGCCCGGGGTCGGGCACAGCTGGCACTGCCATCCTGGGCAGCCCGGGTCTCTGTGGGCGAGGCAGCCGGGTCTGGAGAGGGCCAGTCACTGACAGGGCCAGGGCCGGTGTCACTGTGCCTCAGAAACCTCTCCCGCTGCTGAGAGGAGGGAGACACAAAAAATGAATCAAATAGAATTCTATCAAATCCACCATGCAGTGTCTGTGTTCATGGGGAGTAGTAAACAAATGGAAAACCATCTGAAAGAGGTTAAACGCTCAAACCCAGTGAACCCGCTGTAGCAATGTTTACACAGTGCCTTTGTTTACAAACTGCTGCCATGGCAACACACTTCTTATTCTGAAAACACCTACCTGTGATTATTCTATAATTTTATTTGACCATAGGAAAATGAGCCACTGTGTGAATACAATGCATATTCGATTGACTTGAGTACTCAGTCAATGGAGTTTTCTCCATCAGTGGCATCAGAGCATAAATGAGACATTGGCTTGGATGAGAGAGACTCACAAACTGGATAAAAATAGCTGGATAGTATCAGAGGTCGCATTATATTCAAGCACTGACCTGCACCTCCAATCACAGTTGACCTAAAAAGGGCAACAAGCAAACCATTGAATCAGGCATGTAATCCAAAACAACAACAAAGTGCTGCCTGGTAGTGGGTGCAGTCAGTAATTCCTACCTCTATGATTCCAAGAACCGTATTCACAAAGATTCTCAGAGTAGGAGTGCTGATATAGGATCAGTGTTGCCTTTAAGATCATAATTAATAGAATTATATGGACAGGGGGGGACCTAAAACAAGATCTGTTCTCCTATTCTGAAGGTCGGTTTTCTGAACACAGATTACGCCTAGTCCTGGACTCAAAAGTAAACTCAATGGAGAATCTCCATGTCCAGGGCTTGGCTTAATCTGTGTTCGGGAAACCGCCTCAGAGTCTTTGTAAATGTGGGTCTAGGGCTATACGGTAGGTGTCTCACTGATATAAATGGCAGGTCAGTGGTGAAGGGCACATCAGTCACGTATCCCCCCCTCAGTCAGCTAGTAAATCATGGGGGGGGGGGGGGGGGGGGGGGGGGGTAGAGGTTTAAGGGGTTGCTCCTTTCAGAAAGAGAGATAATCCTTACTAAGAATCACTAACAGCTCGCTTAGTCTAGACGAGACCCCCCCCACCCCCCCACCCCCACCCCCAGCGTGCACAGAAACACACACACAGACCACGCACCACAATGCACAACAGCGCACACACACACACACACACTTGAAGCTGGGAAACTGACTCCCCAGATAATACATCCATTAGGCTAGGCTGCAGGAAAGCTCGCCAGCTCTCTAATATCTGCCAGGCCTGCCTTATGACAATTCTTATTCCAATAGAGCACAAGCAAAAATGCTGAGTCAAACCCTCTCCTACCCCCAATCTCCTGGGTTCTCTGCTACTGCCTGGGTGTCATGCCACCCCTAGAGGAGGTTCTCTGCTACTGCCTGGGTGTCATGCCACCCCTAGAGGAGGTTCTCTGCTACTGCCTGGGTGTCATGCCACCCCTAGAGGAGGTTCTCTGCTACTGCCTGGGTGTCATGCCCCCCCTAGTGGAGGTTCATGGCTACTGCCTGGGTGTCATGCCACCCCTAGAGGAGGTTCTCTGCTACTGCCTGGGTGTCATGCCACCCCTAGAGGAGGTTCTCTGCTACTGCCTGGGTGTCATGCCACCCCTAGTGGAGGTTCTCTGCTACTGCCTGGGTGTCATGCCACCCCTAGAGGAGGTTCTCTGCTACTGTCTGGGTGTCATGCCACCCCTAGTGGAGGTTCTCTGCTACTGTCTGGGTGTCATGCCACCCCTAGAGGAGGTTCTCTGGGTTACCTGCCTCACCTCGCTCCTTACCGTATGGGCCGAGAACAGCAGTCTGCTGCTCGGACTGGGCGCAGATGAAATGATAAACACCTCATCTGTCCCCAAGTCCAGTTCCGTGAGACCACTGGATGAGAGGTCCACTTCAGCATGCTCGGACATATCACCACCAACACTGACCGGGGAACCTGGGAAGGAAAGGAAGGGATATTTGTTTTTGAATCATTTACTTGTATAGTGACAGCCTACAATTAAAACATTGCTACATTGAAGGCACAACCTTAGTTTACGCTAACTTCCACTGCTTGTCCCTAAAAGAGCACTTGAAATGGATTGTTACAGATTGGTCTCCATAGGCTACTGTATATCACTACACTGTGTACCCAAGTACACTGTGTAGCCACAGTACTTGTCCACTCATATTTCTGTTAACTCATAGTGAGTTCAAAAGGTACTCACACTCAAACCATGAAAAGGAATAACCCAAGGAGGCCGAGAACCAAAAATAATGTACTTAATTTAATTAATTCTTGAAAGATTACAATAGGGTGCTAAAAATAGAACAAAACTCATAGTGACATGGTTGAACTCAGCGTGAGGAGAAACATGGTATTCCTAATGCTCTCACGCTGTTATATAGGTTAAATGTCACGACCTGTAAATCTCTCTGTGGGATCAGCTACAATGAGAGAGCCTTTGGATTGTTCTGGGATAAACCCAGTGTTCCTCCAAAACTAAAGCCATTTTCCATTGAGACTTCTAATACTGCACTTCCCACCTCCCATTCACTCAGCTACATCCACTACAAGCTGGCCTCACATATTCCCACAGAAGAAATACATTTTCAAATGACTCAGGAACATAATGCGTGGACAGTAATGTTGCAGCCAATTTCCTTCCACACAGGTTATTGATTAAATGTATGCAGCTACTGTGCACACGGAATACCTTAATGATTTCACATATTTTGAGCTGTATTGGTGAATTCTACTACACACCGATTCTCCTATGCACCAGTGTTAAACATTACTTCAGGTGTGTAACAGTAATTTACATTACATTTTAGTCATTTAGAGCCATTCTATGGCCGTGATCATGAGAAAATATGTCTACTCATTCAGTCTGTGGTAGAATCCTACCAGCTCTATTACTGTTTACAATCCTACCAGCTCTATTGTTTAGAATCCTACCAGCTCTATTACTGTTTAGAATCCTACCAGCTCTATTATTGTTTAGAATCCTACCAGCTCTATTACTGTTTAGAATCCTACCAGCTCTATTACTGTTTAGAATCCTACCAGTTCTATTATTGTTTAGAATCCTACCAGTTCTATTATTGTTTAGAATCCTACCAGTTCTATTATTGTTTAGAATCCTACCAGTTCTATTATTGTTTAGAATCCTACCAGTTCTATTACTGTTTAGAATCCTACCAGCTCTATTATTGTTTAGAATCCTACCAGCTCTATTACTGTTTAGAATCCTACCAGCTCTATTACTGTTTAGAATCCTACCAGCTCTATTACTGTTTAGAATCCTACCAGTTCTATTATTGTTTAGAATCCTACCAGTTCTATTATTGTTTAGAATCCTACCAGTTCTATTATTGTTTAGAATCCTACCAGTCTATTATTGTTTAGAATCCTACCAGCTCTATTATTGTTTAGAATCCTACCAGCTCTATTACTGTTTAGAATCCTACCAGCTCTATTACTGTTTAGAATCCTACCAGCTCTATTACTGTTTAGAATCCTACCAGCTCTATTACTGTTTAGAATCCTACCAGTTCTATTATTGTGTAGAATCCTACCAGTTCTATTATTGTTTAGAATCCTACCAGCTCTATTATTGTTTAGAATCCTACCAGTTCTATTATTGTGTAGAATCCTACCAGCTCTATTATTGTGTAGAATCCTACCAGTTCTATTATTGTGTAGAATCCTACCAGTTCTATTATTGTGTAGAATCCTACCAGTTCTATTACTGTTTAGAATCCTACCAGCTCTATTACTGTTTAGAATCCTACCAGCTCTATTACTGTTTAGAATCCTACCAGTTCTATTACTGTTTAGAATCCTACCAGTTCTATTAGTGTAGAATCCTACCAGTTCTATTATTGTGTAGAATCCTACCAGTTCTATTATTGTTTAGAATCCTACCAGTTCTATTATTGTTTAGAATCCTACCAGTCTATTATTGTTTAGAATCCTACCAGCTCTATTACTGTTTAGAATCCTACCAGCTCTATTACTGTTTAGAATCCTACCAGCTCTATTACTGTGTGTTGGAGGTCTGACAGTCAGGCCCAGTGTACCATTTTTATGTCATAGTTTCACAGCTGAATGAAATAACAATGCCCCAATTATGCTGAACATGTAAGTTCAGTTTAGGGGCAGATAAAGTAATTGTCAGCCAGGTTGGAACCTGACCAAACACCCCAGCGGTACCCCTCAATCATGGAGGGCAGGTGGAGCGAGGGGATTCACTAGGCTAGGTGGCTGGAGCACAAGCAGAGGGGAAAACAGGGGAGTGTTAGAGGGAGAGAGAGGAGATAGACAGAGAGTGTGTGTGTGTGAGCATGCATGCATGAATGCGTGCGTGTGCATACCCACCTGTTTGTGTGATGCTGAGAGAGTGGTTGTTGTCGTTCTCTGCCATGTCAGGGACTTCCAGGCCGGGCTGATTAGGAGCCACCAGCTGCAGCTCACGGACATCAGCTCCAGAGTTCTGCACTCCCTCCTGCACCTACAATTTAGAGTCAGCATGTACTACTACAGCTGCCTACCACAGCACATACACCAAGGGAGTAGGGATGCACAGCACTGAAATACAGACATGAACTGAAGTTGTTTTGATCAATTCATAAAATGTTTTGATAACCAGTGGGGTATTATGATCTAGTGGCAATACAATACTAAAAGAGACCAGAACTTGTAGGACTGTTTTGCTTTGTTCCTTCTTAGCACACTGAAGTTCAATCCCAAATAGAAGTGTCATAGGGAAGTGTAACTTGTCCAGTGTGTGTATGTGTGAGTCAGTCAGTCTGACCCCAGTCAGTCTACCTCTGAGGCTGCCTGCCCTGCGTGGGAGAAGTTGGACAACAACAGCGCCAGGCCAGCGGAGAGTATTTGCATTTGTTCCAGTGACTGTAGTCTAGAGGATATGAAGTAAATGTTCCCTGATTCCAGTCAGAAGCTAGCCTACAGAGGAATGTCTGGACAGACAGACACACACACACACACACACACACACAGGGGTGGTTTTCCGTTTACCTCAGAGTTGTTGGATGAGCAGGAGCTGGCTGTTTTCGGACATAGTTTAGGTCTGAAAAACAAAAAGAGCCACAACATTTCAGTTATGCATTTTTTAACTGTTTAACATATCTTTGAAAACCATTATTTACTTTCTTGACTTTTGGCGACATTCTCTTTCATGCTATTTGTGAAAGCTTGACTGTTATTTAGGGCAACTGTTCTCCAAAATGTTTTACAAAATGACCATATTCTCCCACAATTAGAAACTGGAACGGATTGCCTTCACTGAGGTTCTTCCTCGAAACATAATCAGTCTAGCTAACTAACTCACTACATACAAACAGCTCCAGCAGCTATGAGGGGATTCTGTTCATTAACGGAGATCTAAATGCTTTTGTGTACCCATTTCTGGTACAATTAAAAACATGGTGCCAGGACGGGACTAATACAACTCTAACTGCTCTAATACTACGCATGATGGAAATGGCCTTCTTGGCTTCCTGATCATGTTTTATGCGTGTGTTGTTGTTCCTGGTAATTAGACTTTCATTTTATTAGAAGTGTGTTTTCCATTTTCCTTTAATTAACAGCAAGAAGTAAGAACTACACAAATGGGCTTATTGTGCTCAACAGCCACACATCGGTTTTGGAGAATAACCAATAACATATTTCTACTGTACAACCTATTTCACGGCGATGTATGTTGCTACAGTATATCATAAAGTATTGTGTGTATTTTTGTTTTCAAAACAGAATGCTTTCAAGCTGAGAAAAATGTAACATTTCACAAGTAATAAAAAAAAACATTGCTTTTCCTTTGAGTTGGGTTGACTAGATTGAGGGGAATTTACATAGAGATAGATGTTTTTTATGTATGGGAATTTAAACCTTCCTGGAGGGAACTAGAGATGTGAATCAGGCCGGTAGAGTAAAACGGTGATACTCATTTAGTCACCTGGCATGGATAATATTACACCCTGATAGAACTAATACAAGCAGCATGTGCTACTGTTGTCTCCAAATGGGATTGACCGAGAGAACAACCTGTAAATTACATATTCTGATACTGTATGTTGTTCTTGTTCTATTAAACAACCACCATGGCACCTGGGCAGGACAGAGGCTCACAGCACAGCAGCACGAGGATCTCCGCTTCTCTTTATCTTCCTTCCTTTTTCTCCTGCTGGCTTTTGTATGGCTGCATTTCTCTTTGTCAGTTGGAATCGATGCCAGGTGCTGCACCTTGAATGGCCCTCACCCTCCCTCCCTCCGTATCGCTCCCTCCGTGTCTCGCTCCCTCTCCCTCTCTCTGTATAATGGTGAGAATGCTGCACATCAAGGCAGATACAGCCGACCACTTCACTGGGTCACATCAGGGACCAACCCAGGCCTCCAGCTGAGTCAACAGGCAGGCCATCAGCAGCAGCAGCACACTAGTGGAGGAGGAGGACTGACTGGTAGACTATCTCATTCATGGGAGGAATCTTTGTTACACTGGCCAACATCAAAGACCCAACAGTTGTGCCATCTCCCTTGGATGACAAGGAACTGAAGACATAAGAGGGTCATAAAAGGACAATTCTTGCCATTGTGCAGAATGTGCACGGTCTTGTTTATGTTTATGCTTGAGAACTGCATGTCTCAGGTTGTCAGGGAAATGTATTTATAGTACAAAACGTGTCTGACAAAGGTATCTTTATGACTCCATTCTTTCTGCATGGCTTGCTTTACCTGAAGATGTTGCACAGGTGAACTACAGGGATCATGAAGAGACAATCATTCACATTGTGCATGGTCTTGTTTATGCTTGAGAACTGTATGTCTCTGGGAAATAGGGAAAGCAATCACACGTGTATGACAAAACAAAATGTTCTGGTGTACCAAGTGTTGAATTTCATATTGTATAATTACACAAAATCTGAAAAGTTCCATGCCTGATATTACTGTAGATTCCTTTTGTTGTTGTCAGTGCCCTTTTTAATGTTGCACACTTCCTTCTCCTCTTGTATTCCCCCTCATAAACATCCCCTGCCCCCCTTACCTCTTCCCTGTCTACTGTACCCATGTGGAAGAGGTAGGTTACAGTAAAATTGTGCCATGAAAGTCATAATCAATCCTACATGTTAAAACACATAATGAGTTTATATGGTCCTTGACAGTGCAATATTATGGTCTTCTACCAGTATATTGGGATATTCATGCATTTATGAACTTTTTTATCTGTTACGTTATGCATACTGTACATGTTAGCTAACTATTGTACTTTTTACTGTAGGCTACATCGTCATTGGGCTACTCATGTCCCCCTGTGAATTTGTACTTTGCAGAGGAGTTGGCGTATAAGGGCAGCACAGCAAGTTTTTCCTGTTATTATCAGGTATGTCATGTGTTTTGTTTGTTAAGATATTTTGACGATATTTTACTGTTAGCAGTTCGCAAGTGCATGTCATGTACTGTACTGTATGTAACGCCTGGCTGTCATTGAGAAAGTTGGCTAGCCTAAGCCTAGAAGCTATAGTGTTCATTGCGTTTGTTATTGTACTGTTATGTGAAGCAAGATTATTGTTACAGTGCATTCGGAAAGTATTCAGACCTTGACTTTTTCCACATTTTGTTACGTTTTTTAATTTTTTTATAAACAAAATTGGCGCAGCGGTCTAAGGCACTGCATCGCAGTGCTACAGGCGTCACTACAGATCTGGGTTCAATCCCGGGCTGTGTCGCAGCCGGCCACGACCCGGAGACCCATGAGGCGGCGCACAATTGAACCAGTGTCATCTGGGTTAGGGGAGGGTTTGGCCGGCTGGGATGTCCTTGTCCCATCGCGCTCTAGTGACTCCTTGTGGCGGCCGGGCGCATGCACGCTGACGTCGGTCGCCAGCTGTACAGTGTTTCCTCCGACACATTGGTGCAGCTGGCTTCCGGGTTAAGCAAGCAGTGTCAAGAAGCAGTGCGGCTTGGCAGGGTCGTGTTTCGGAGGACGCATGGCTCTCGACCTTCGCCTCTCCCGAGTCCATACGGGAGTTTCAGCGATGGGACAAGACTGTAACTACCAAATGGATATCACGAAATTTGGGGGTAAAAGTGGTAAAAAGTACAAATTTTATTTTTTACAAATATATTATTTTTTTCCATCATCAATCTACACACAATACCCCATAACGACAATGCAAAAACAGATGGGTTGACATTTTTGCACATTTATTATTATAAATAAAAAACAGAAATATCACATAAGTATTCAGACCATTTACTCAGTACTTTGTTGAAGCACCTTTGGCAGCGATTACAGTCTCGAGTCTTCTTGGGTATGCCGCTACAAGCTTGGCACACCAGTATTTAGGGAGTTTCTCCCATTCTTCTCTGCAGATCCTCTCAAGCTCTGTCAGGTTGGATGGGGAGAGTCGCTGCACAGCTCTTTTCAGGTCTCTCCAGAGATGTTAGATCGGGTTCAAGTCCGGGCTTTGGCTGGGTCACTCAAGGATATTCAGTGACTTATCCCGAATCCTCTCCTGCATTGTCTTGGCTGTGTGGTTAGGGTTGTTGTCCTCTTGGAAGGTGAACCTTCACCCCAGTCTGAGGTCCTGAGCACTCTGGAGCAGGTTTTCATCAAGGATCTCTCTGTACTTTGCTCCGTTCATCTTTACCCTCGATCCTGACTAGTCTCCCAGTCCTTGCCGCTGAAGAACATCCCCACAGCATGATGCTGCCACCACCATGCTTCACCGTAGGGATGGTGCCAGGTTTCCTCCAGACGTGACGCTTGGCATTCAGGCCAAAGAGTTCAATCTTGGTTTCATCAGATCAGAGTCCTTTAGGTGCCTTTTGGCAAACTCCAAGCAGGCTCTCATGTGCCTTTTACTGAGGAGTGGCTTCCGTCTGGCCACTCCACCATAAAGGCCTGATTCTGGAAGGTTCTCCCATCTCCACAGAGGAGCTCTGGAGCTCTGTCAGAGTGACCATTGGGATCTTGGCCACCTCCCTGACCAAGGCCCTTCTCCCCCGATTGCTCAGTTTGGATGGGCGGTCAGCTCTTGGAAGAGTCTTGGTGGTTCTAAACTTCTTCAATGCTGCAGAAATATTTTGGTACCCTTCCCCAGATCTGTGACTCGACACAATCCTGTCTCGGAGCTCTACGGACAATTCCTTCGACCTCATGGCTTGGGTTTTGCTCTGACATGCACTGTCAACTGTGGGACCTCATATAGACAGGTGTGTGCCTTTCCAAATGATGTCCAATCAATTGAATTTACCACAGGTGGACTCCAATCAAGTTGTAGAAACATCAAGGATGATCAATAATTTACATTTTAGTCATTTACCAGAGCGACTTTCAGTTAGTCGTAATATATATACGTAATATTTTTATTTTTCATACTGGCCCACCGTGGGAATCGAACCCACAACCCTGGCGTTGCAAACGCCATGCTCTACCAACTGAGCTACATCCCTGCCGGCCATTCCCTCCCCTACCCTGGACGACGCTGGGCCAATTGTGCGCCACCCCATGGGTCTCCCGGTCACGGCCGGCTACGACAGAGCCTGGATTCGAACCAGGATCTCTAGTGGCACAGCTAGCACTGCGATGCAGTGTCTTAGACCACTGCGACACTCGGGAGAGTATTTCAAGTCTCATAGCAAAGGGTCTGAATACTTATGTAAATAAGGTATTTCTGTTTTTATATGTAATACATGTGCAAAACATTTGAATAACCGGTTGTGTGTAGATTGATGAAGATTTTCTTTAATTTAATCAATTTTAGAATAAGGCTGTAACATAACAAAATGTGGAAAAAGTCAAGGGGTCTGAATACTTTCCCAATGCACTGTATATGTAAGCCGATCAAAACACAATGTACAACACCGGTCACACTGGCACATTTCTCTCTGCATGTCACCCCTGAGGTGCTGGTTCGATATCAGGGAGTCAGAGCAACCTATTTATAACACAACACGTGTGTGACAAAGGGATATCATATCACAGCAACTCTCTCTGAATGCTTTTACATACCTGAAAATGATGCACAGAGCGCTGGTGAGCACCATGGCAAAGAAGGCTGCTCCGCTCATGGCGGCCAGCAGAGAGTCCATCTTGCTGGCCCCGGCAGGGGCGTAGGTGTGCTGGGGGTCATCTCCATCCTGTTCTGTCCGGTTGTGGTAGTGAAAGAGCAGGGCGAAGCCGCGGCCCCAGTGGGTGGTGGTGATCAACTCCATGATGACCTCTACCATCTCCTGGCTGGAGCCAAACACCAGCTGGCTGCTGGAGGGCCGGTTGGAGCCACAGAAGCGCGAGGAGAAGGTGAGGAGGTCCGAGATGTAGAGGACGTCGTGGGGGCAAGCGTCCACCACCGACTGCTGGGTCTCAGGGCTCACTAACTCTGTGTCCGTGGGGGGCGGAGAGGTCGCAGTGGTGGCCTTGTCTACAATCACAGCCAGGTCTGGGGCTGCTGCTCTGGGGTTAGGGGTAGGATTTAGGTCAGGGTCGCCTCTGAGGAGAGGAGAGGTGATTGAGTTCACCGCTGCCTGGGCCCTGGGTAGGAGGAGGTGTGAGGGGGGATGTGGGGATGCAGTGTCAGAGGTGGACCTTTTAGCAGAGTTGGAGACTTTGGCGATCTCCATCTTGGTGGACTGCTCTTGCACCACCACCTGCTTGACCTTGTCATTTTGGAAGGAGGACTGGTGGGCTTTCGCTCTGCCCCCCTGAGCCTTAGGTACAGGGGCGTCTTTAGCCAGCATTGACACATTTTCATCTGTGACAGGACCCCCAGATGGGAACGTTACCCCATCGTCAGCCTCAGCATCTTCCACTTTCAAGTTAGAGATCGCAGTGTACTGGGTGGAGGGGTCGTGGCTCTCGAACACATCAAAGTCAAATATCTCCAGTATGAGCTGGTGGCCGACAGGCACAAAGAACTGCCAGACACAGTGGGTCCCTGAGGAATAGTTAAAGGGAAACCCAGGAGACAGGATGAGGCCTTGGACTTCCACAACATCCACCTTAGCTCCACAATCAAAGTAGACCTGCAATAAAAACATACATGGGCTTGGTGAGGGGGACAGGAGTGTACGTTAAAACGCTAGCATCTCTAATGATCGACATCTCTACTGTATACCAGCACTTGTTAAAGACTTACAGAAAATCAGCAGACATTTAAAAAAAATAACGTCTAGGGACTTTTTGTAGAGTACAACATGGACATATAATACAAATAAGGCTGTCTTTTAAACAAATAACACAGTTGAGCTGAATTGCAGATTGCCTAAAAAACAATTAACTGCATCCAGACCTGAACTATTCAACCCTCCTCTGCCAGCTAGTATATCAAAGCGGTGGCGGTGCCTTGCATGCCTGTGCTTGGGTAACCCTGGGAAGGGTTTCTTAAAACACGCTGAGCTGGCTGTAATGCTTCCCAGGTGTGTTGGGTGGAAGGTGGAGGGGGACCTGAGCCTGGCTAAGCAGAGGCAGATGTGTGGCTGGAGCCGCTGGGCCCAGAGCTCAGGTCCAGACCTTTGTAGGAGGGCTGGTGTGTTTATGAGCTTTCCTCTCAGCCCAGGTTCTGGACTGTGGGAACTGAGCGATGACCTAGCCGGGGCTCAACCAGCACAGCCTCCACCACCAGACAGGTAAAACACCAGCCAATGCCACAGGCAACACTAGTAGTCTGGTTGGGAACACATTTCAAAACGCACTCAAGACCCGGTGTGTGTGTATGGTGTGTGTAAAAGGAGCACCAGCACCACTGCCATCGACCAACTCCAGATAGACGCTTTGATTGCCGCTACATGACCCATCTCATCTCTCCATATGCATGCATTTATCAAAGGCATTCCTCAGATTCTTAGAAGCTAAATCTAGATGTATTTTTCAATCATGACTGTATGAGAGAGGCTGCTGCTAGGTTTGGCCCCAGCAACCCCCTCCGTCCTTCTGACTGCAACTCAAAGACCTCACTATTGCTGATACAGCTGGCAGCCTCACAGCCAGGTCAGAATGTCCCTTACAGAGAGATGGAGGGCAGTAAGGGCATACATATGTGTGTGTGTTCTGTACAGTTAACGAAAGAGGTGTTTTCAAAGCACATGAATGCACCGAAAATATTGAATACAAATATTGAATGCATATCACGCCAGAGGTGTGATAGTCCTCAGTCCTGATCGCTTGATCATCACGTAGCAGCATATGTATTCAATCTGTTTCAGACCTCCCTATCCTGCCCGCTTAATGACTCAACACTTTTGCAATATGTTGGTGAACAACATTGGATTAAAAACATTGGATCAAAACATTGCAACAGTGTATTATCTCAGCTATCATTACTAACCATGGGAAAATACGTATATTATATGCATGGGAAAGAGCCAAGCAGCTTATCATGTGTTGTGCTTGTTATCCAGTATGTGTTTTTGGTTTGTATTAAATATTATTGACAAACTATAATAACAGCTTCTGTTAAAGAAATTAAAGAAGGACTGCCTTTAAAAAGCAACAAATCCCTTTGAAAACGGCCTATGTGACATCGATAGGAGTCAGAAACAGTTATTCCAGTGTCAAAATTGACATAAAGTCAGTCTCGTCTAAAACGGAGTTTGGAACATCCGTGCGTCTCAACGGGTAAATGAAGGTTGGGTTTTTGATTTGAGGATGTACATTTCCCCACTAACATTGGGTGAGCAGCTGTGGTGATTGCTCTCTATCCAATAGCATAGACAGTGAGACAGACCTGCCCGGCAGCTCTGACTTCGTTTACATAAGACAACATGTCGCACATTTTTTTACTTGAGAAATACTGCACCAAACACCTTAGTTAGATGTAAAACTGCGCAACCAAAACATCCTCAGCGAAAACGTGAAATAGGCTTCTGCGTCTACAGTGTCTGATGGGGGACAAACATCATTAACCAAACGCGGAATCGGAAACACACCTCCAAGATTTAAATCTTGTTTTTCTAATGAGCAACAGAAAAACACACGTGCCAATCGGTGTGTTCAGTGGCTCTTTAAGATTAACTTAAAGTTGTAAACATTTTATTGCTATGGACACAGTCCACTCATTGTCAAGTTTAGGCACCAAAATGAAATAATTACAGAAACAAATTCTAATTTATGCAGTGGTAAATACAACTTGATAGTGATAGAGGCTTATATAACAGTGATAAATTACAAGAATCAAGGCACAGTCAGTACTTTGAAGCCCAACTAGTTCTAAGAGTGTTGTAAAATAGCATTTTCTTTCTCAATGCTTTCTCTGCTGTTTAGTGTGACAGCATTATGTCATAGTAAGGTGCAAAAGAGAAAATGGCCTTGGACTTACTAGGAACTCATGTCATGAACGCCACAACAACAATACATAATTACGCGGATGACATTTTCAACTGGTCAAATGCCATTCCCAGAGAGGTTGCAGAGAGTAAGCCAATTTCCGTTTTTGCTCTACGGTGTTGTGCAGTGTAGTGGTATTGTGCAATACCCTATAGAATGAAGGGAACAGCTTGGCAACATGGGGGGGGGGGGGGGGTTGTCTGTCTCCGTGACCAATATAAGTGTCCAAATCCACTTTTGTGTAGCCAGGCTCTTTCTATTGACAGTGTGTGGGCTACATAGAAAGAGAGAGAACTGTGTCAGGGAGGGAGGGAGGGACAGGGACTGTGTCATTTCCCTGGCTCTGGCTGCACTAGGACTGGGCTGGCTATCTGGAGGTCCGCCACCCTCACTGTGGTGTGACGTACATGGTAGACTACACATGAATGACCTCAGTGCCACAGTGTAAATTGGAAATGGGACATTCTTATAAAGCCAAACATCCCAGTTCTGTTACATCACAGACACAGGCCTCTAACACTGGCAGTGGCAGCCAGGGCGGTCATTATTTAAGGAAGCCTTTTCTCATGGGGAACAACGGGCAGCAGTGCCATTTGGTTGCACCACTTCATGGTGGGATGGGAGATAACACTTTAATGAAGTGATGTTAATAAGTAGGAGCAGGCAGAAAGTTTACATAAGACCCTGCTGATCGGTCATCGCACCCCAGTTGTGCCACACGGAGATCCCTGTACAAAAGTAGAGAAAACAAGCATATAATTGTGTAGAATGACTTGTGCATTAGAATGTCAAATGAAACCCTGTGATTAGTTTGAGGTTGACCATAATATTGATAACGTTAAGCAACTTGAATCCTTTGTCGGAACAACATTTCCAGAACTGCAAATTACCTGAAATATAGTTCGAACTTTATACAAAGCCTACTAAAAGTATATCCCTATGATTGATTTGCTGTTTGGAAAATGAATTTTGAACCCTCTCCCTAACAACTGAAGACCTTACAGAGGAATTGAACCTTAACAACAGGTTAGTGAGTACCCCCAGCTAAAACCCTTGAAACAGCGGCTCGACATCCCATAGCGATCGCTGTCACACACTCACTCATTCCATTCCCTCACTCCTTCACATGCACAAACAGCCCCTGACTGGCTCCTAAACAGCCAGACGGGCCCCTCAAGGGGGCAGGGATCCTTCCAGGCGCTGTTTACTGGAGTAGAAAAGTGACACTGCTCCACAGGCTGACGCTTCAGCTATGCCAACTCCCAGATGAAGTGTTATATAACCCAGGGCTCAGCAGCTCCTCTGTATGTCTGTCTGTCTCCAATCATTTAGCCACTGTTGCTGGTCAGGTCAGACACGGACAGAAATCTAGAGCATAGACTTTAGGGTTATTTCTACGGTGGAGAATGCTGAATTTTTGTGTCATAGAAGCACTATACTAAAGACAACATCCTTGCACCCGGTGTTGTCCGTCCACAGCTGTGAAAAGGCACTGATACACGAGCCCACAAGTTATACAATAAGTATGGTGTGTGTGTATGCAGGTATCCTGTGCTCTCATCTTCACTCAGGGTGAGTTTACAAACAACAGGTGAGCTTCCTGATTGGGCTCTAGCTGAAGCTGTCGCCACTGACCTTGGAGAACAGAGTCCTCATACTCTAATCACCACACAAAATACTGACCGTTACAAATTAACATCAAGGCCACGATAATCTTTGGTTGTCAATGTTGGGGCCACACATTTTCTCTGCTCTGCATGAGACAGTGGAATGTTCAGTATTGTGGTGGTGGTGAACCCTCCAACTCCACATAGATATGTGGCTGGGTGGGTGGGATGTTGGATATGGGGTTCCACATTTGTGGTGCACACACCAATTAACATAGTTTTCCCTGTATTTTTCTTCCTCTCTGGATAGGAGGAGGTTGCAGTAACAGTCATTAACTAAGGACGCCTAGCCTAGGAAGTAAAGCATGTTGATGGATGCAGTCAGTCAGTGTTATGTCTCCATGGTGGTTCAGACCAATTTGGAGAAATAATTTCCAGATTTGGAATGTGATCCAGGCAGTGAATGGATGCATCCTGAGTAATTAATCTCTCAGCAGCTGAGCGAGTAGCCCCACCATGCAGGATGACAACAACACTCACAGCCAGAACAGCCAGGCCAGCTAGCAGGGCAGCTAGAGCTCTCTCTCTCTCTCTCCCTCTCGCTCCCTCTCTCTGCCTGGCCCATTCATCCCACTTAAAGTAACAGTACAGTTTATTTACCACCATGCCAACCTCACTGTCTGACCAATATGTGTTTACAGTATGAACTAGTTTCTTTATGGACTTTAAACATTTAGCTAAGGGATGAATTCGTCAGTGGTTCTATCTTTAGGGTTGTTCCCTCTATCAAATGGATGCTCATTTAAAAATCAACATTAGAATAAGCAATGAAATTATGAAAAGATTCTGTAATATTTCCTAACTTAAATGTCAAACATGCTCTCATTTGTCTAGATGTTAGGGTGGTTCTCATTTGTCTAAATGACTAAAATGTAAATGTAATGTTAGGGTGGCTCTCATTTGTCTATATGTTAGGGTGGTTCTCATTTGTCTAGATGTTAGGGTGGTTCTCATTTGTCTAGATGTTAGGGTGGTTCTCATTTGTCTAGATGTTAGGGTGGTTCTCATTTGTCTAGATGTTAGGGTGGTTCTCCTTTGTCTAGATGTTAGGGTGGTTCTCATTTGTCTAGATGTTAGGGTGGTTCTCATTTGTCTAGATGTTCGGGTGGTGGATTTATCAAAGTTGAACGATTTCCTTTAGGGGGTTGATGCATTGAATTCCAAGCCTGTTTACGCTGTTCCAAAAATCAACTTAATACAAAAGAGGCCAAGAGGACAAAGCCATCATTTAGAGTGCCCCATCAGGCAGATAATTGCAAAGATAGTGAGCACCCTACGCACACAGAAACTAAAGCTGGGGACGCTGACAATTCAATATACCAAGGGCTTTTGTTGTTCAGTTCTAAGAATTCTACTGCTCACCGCCACTCAGTCACAGTGGATGGGGACGAGTCTTGACAGTTCGTAGCCTTAGAGATTCTCCTTCCTAGTGTTGTAGTAGTGTGTGGTCAGAACTAATATTTACAGTGCATTCGGAAAGTATTCAGAACCCTTCCCTTTTTTCACATTTTGTTACGTTACAGCCTTATTCTAAATTTGATTTTTTTTTTTCAATCTCATCAATCTACACACAATACCCCATAAGGACAACGTGAAAACTGCCTTTTATAAATTTATAAAAGATAAACACTGAGATACCTTATTTACATAAGTATTCAGACCCTTTGCTATGAGACTCGAAATTGAGCTCAGGTGTATCCTGTTTCCATTGATCATCCTTGAGATGTTTCTACAACTTCATTGGAGTCCACCTGTGGTAAATTCAAGTGATTGGACATTATTTGGAAAGGCACACACCTGTCTATAAAAGGTCCCACAGTTGACAGTGCATGTCAAAGCAAAAACCAAGCCATGAGGTCGAAGGAATTGTCCCTAGAGCTCCGAGACAGGATTGCGTTGAGACACAGAGACACAGATATGGGGAAGGGTACCAAAACATTTCTGCAGCATTGAAGGTCCCCGAGAACACAGTGGCCTCCATCATTCTAAAATGGAAGAAGTTTGGAACCAACCAGACTCTTCCTAGAGCTGGTTGCCCGGCCAAACTAAGCAATCAGGGGAGAAGGGCCTTGGTCAGGAATGTGACCAAGAACCCGATCAAGAACCCGATGGTCACTCTGACAGAGCTCCAGAGTTCCTCTGTGGAGATGGGAGAACCTTCCAGAAGGACAACCTTCTCTGCAGAACTCCACCAATCAGGCCTTTATGGTAGAGTGGCCAGACGGAAGCCACTCCTCAGTAAAAGGCACATGACAGCCTGCTTGGAGTTTGCCAAAGGCACCTAAAGGACTCTCAGACCATGAGAAACAACATTCTCTGGTCTGATGAAACCAAGATTGAACTCTTTGGCCTGAATGCCAAGCGCCACGTCTGAAGGAAACCTGGCACCATGGTGGTGGCAGCATCATGCCATGGGGATGTTTTAAGCGGCAGGGACAGGGAGACTAGTCAGGAACAAGGGAAAGATGAATGGAGCAAAGTACAGAGAGATCCTTGATGAAAACCTGCTCCAGAGCGCTCAGGACCTCAGACTGGGGCAAAGGTTCACCTTCCAACAGGACAACGACCCTAAGCACACAGCCAAGACAACGCAGGAGTGGCTTCAGGACAAGTCTCTGAATGTCCTAGAGTGGCCCAGCCAGAGCCCAGACTTGAACCTGATCTAACATCTCTGGAGAGACTTGAAAATAGCTGTGCAGCGATGCTCCCCATCCAACCTGACAGAGCTTGAGAGGATCTGCAGAGAAGAATGGGAGAAACTCCCCAAATCTTCCGACACAATCCTGTCTCGGAGCTCTACGGACAATTCCTTTGACCTCATGGCTTGGTTTTTGCTCTGACATGCATTGTCAACTGTGGGACCTTATATAGACAGGTGTGTGCCTTTCCAAATGATGCCTAATCAATTGAGTTTACCACAGGTGGACTCCAATCAAGTTGTAGAAACATCTCAAGGATGATCAATGGAAACAGGATGCACCTGAGCTCAATTTCGAGTCTCATAGCAAAGGGTCTGAATACTTATGTAAATAAGGTATTTCTGTTTTTTCAATTTGTTATTATGGGGTATTATGTGTAGATTGATCAGGAAAATGTTTTATTTAATCCATTTTAGAATAAGGCTGTAATGTAACAAAATGTGGAAAAAGTCAAGGGGTCTGAATACTTTCCGAATGCACTGTACATACAATGGCCGTGTCACACTCAAATCATTGCGGAGACAGAGTAGGCTACATCACCTGAAACCACATAGTAAGTGGGGGAAATTATTTTATAGTACTGCTTCATTCTGACTGCTGCCAAAGTTGTCAGGAAGAATTTGGTGATTAAAAAGAACGCCTTCTGCCGGACTCTGTTAATCACCTGTAAGCACTGAACAGATTAGGGAAGTCTTTCCCAAATGCTAATAACTGAACATAATTAAATACCACACTTCCATGGCCCATAGACACTATATAACACGGTAATGTTATGGATTCACTTGGTCATTTGACGCCTCTGCCTTATATTTCATTTACAGTACAGTGGCAGATCAATAGCTTCATTCTCCCCAGATGCTGCGCATATACTTATGCTATTTAAGTCAATACTACAGTGTCAGATGTTCACATACAGAACACTCAGAAGAGGAGAGAAGATATTAATAAGAATGTAGCCTACACACAGGTTTCTTCCTAGTTTGGGAATTGGACCAAATTGAGAAGAAACCCAAACCAGAGTGTCACCTGGACTGCTTCTGCTGCACCATCATCTCTGGTGCACAACCATTATTATGAGCCGTCCTCCCCTCAGCAGCCTCCACTATGCTAAACATGTTTCAGGTGTGTTGCACCATACAACTTAGTGTGGATGTGGAAACCCAATAACCAGGAAAAAGCCACTGATCATACCATGCAATCCAGTGCCATGTAACACTGATAATGAATAGTAAGGGAACGGTTGGTTTACACTTACATACTACTGTACTAGGAACCCTGTCAGACAGAAAGTGCTGTGTGTTGTATAACAGAGAGCCGGAGTCAGGCGTCTCCACTCTACAGTATGTACTGGGTAATTCATGAGAGCTCTTGTTCAGGAATAAAGTCATGAAGTCCATGTCAGTGTCAGGCAGACAGGCAGACAGGCAGACAGGCAGGAGGGTTGTTTTCACCACAAAGTGAGAGTGAGTCAGACTCAGACCAACAGGAGATGAACATGCCCTGCTCTGGCTTCATCCATGTGGTTCTCATTTCACTGCTCTCTCTGTCTGACTCTGCATGCCATTGCCTTTAACTCTACTAGATATAGTTGAGGACAAGAAGATAGAGTGCATGCTCAGTGTCATGGGATGTTTTCCTCCCCATGGTTGGAAAATGCAGCCTTACAGAGAGTACTGCCAGCTGATGTTTAAGATTGTCAAAAAGTGCAAACACACCTGGCTATAGCCGAATATTGATGTATATTTATGTGTGATGTCTTACAGTTATATACAATTATGCATAGATTGACAACATGATCAACTGGGAAATCACATAAAATAATGACTTATTTTCCTCAATTACGAACCCAGCATGACTTTGAACTTGGGGTGATTACTATTGAAAGCTTCCTATTGAAATGCATGTCAATAAGCTTTTTGTAGCACTCGATAGGGTAGTAGATCCTTTTATAAGATAATGGTATTAGATTACTAAAAAGTGATTATTCATGTAAAACTATACTCAAACTTCTGGAGAGGTGAGCCCTGTGTATGCACGGGTGGTGTTCACATGCATACCGGACTACTCTGCTACAATACGTTTACAGTGCATTCAGTGCATCAAGTTCTCACAGTAATGACAAATTACCCAGGAAAGTCTATATTCTGTCTTTCCCTGGGTGGAAAATACCTAGCTACACAACAACAACAACAACAACAACAACAACAAGGAAACTTAATACATGTTTCATTCTTGCTTAACAAGTTTTCAGCCAGTCACTAAACTATAAGACCGATGACGCGTGAAACAAATCACTGTGCTTTTTTATGAGGCAAAATATAGACTGTAAACAAAGAGCAGACATGTATTACTTACTTTCTGCGCAACACATCCCGTGACCCATAGTAAATACGCTGTCATGAACACATGTGCCCAGAACGAGCTGTTGCAGTTCATTTTCTTTATTTCTTCCTTTTCCCCGACGCACACTGAACCATAACCCGCTCTCGCTCCCCATTCACCTGAAGTCTCGGGGGCGCGCATTCATCGTTCGTGGACCCGCATGCAGAAATCACAGGGGGTTGTACTGAAGCGCTCACAATTTGACAGTCAGAGTCAGACCAATTTGTCCACAATCATTTTGACAAAATATACACTTTCAATGCACCATGCGTGGAATTAGGAATAGTAACCTACATGTCCTTGTAGTAGGTAATCTGCATAAAAATAGAAGAATGAAGATGTCTTCACACCCCAGAGTTAATACTTGGTGGAAGCACCTTTGGCAGCCATTACAGCTGTGAATCATTTTGAATAATATTCTACCAACTTTGCACAACTCTTAGGGCAACATACTGTATATCCATTGTTTTGGCCAAAATTACTCATGCTTAGTAAATTTGGTTGGGAATCATTGATGGACAGCAATATTCAAACCTTGTCTCAGATTTTCAAGCAAATTTAAGCCGGGACTGAGACTGGACCACTAAAGAACACTCAACACCTCTTGGAAATTCGTTCTGGTGTGTCTTTGGCATTAAAACTTGTGTAATTGTCCCGCTGTAAAAAATTAAACTCAATCACAGGGTTAGGTTTTCAGAAGACTGAGGCGGGTTTTCCTCTACCTATTTACATGGGCTTTGATCCTTTCATATTTATTTTGACCCTGACAAACTCCTCAGTCCCTGCCGGTGACAAGCATACCCAAAACATGATGCTGCCACCACAATACTTGAAAATACAGAGGGTGTATTGGATTTGACCCAAATCTGTAGTTTTTAATTTAGGCAAACAGTTAATATCTTTGCCGTGTTGTCTTGCAGTATAACTTAATGGCCTTGTTGCAAGCAGAATGGAGCAGTGGTGTAAAGTACTTAATTCAAAATACTTAAAAGTCCTACTTAAGAAGTTTTTTTGGGGTATCTGTACTTTACTATTTATATTTTTGACAACTTTTACTTTTACTTCACAACATTCCTATATAAATAAATGTACTTTTTACTCCATACATTTTCCCTAACACCCAAAAGTAGTCGTTACATTTTTAATGCTTAGCAGGACAGGAAAATGGTCCAATTCACACACTTATCAAGAGTACATCCCTGGTCATCACTACTGCCTCTGATCTGGTGGACTGACTAAACACACATGCTTTGAGTGTTGGAGCATGCCCCTGACTTTCCGTAAATATTTAAAAAAAGAAAATGGTGCCATCTGGTTTGCTTAATATAAGGAATTTGAAATGATTTATACTTTTACTTTTGATACTAAAGTGTATTTTAGCAATTGCATTTACTTTTGATACTTAAGCATATTTAAAACCAAATACTTTTAGACTTTACTCAAGTAGTACTTTCCTGGGTGACTTTCACTTTTACCTGAGTCATTTACTATTAAGGTATCTTTACTTTTACTCAAGTATGACAATTGGGTACTTTTTCCACCACTGGAATGGAGTAAATTCTTTCTCATACAGGCCAGTAATGTAGAGTTAATGCAATGTTGTTGATCATCTGTATTTTCAAGTATTGTGATGGCAGCATCATGTTATGGGTATGCTGGTCACTGGCAGGGACTGGGGAGTTTGTCAGGATCAAAAGTAATATTAAAGGAGCAAAGCCCAGGTAAAAGGTTAGAGGAAAACCTGCGGTATTCTTCTGCAAACCTAACCCTGGGATGGAGTTGTATTTTTTTGGCGGAACAATTACGCAAATGTTTATGCCAAAGACACACCTGAATGGCTTTCCAAGAGTTGTTGAGTGTTCCTGAAGGGTCCAGTCTCAGTCCTGACTTAAATATTTGAGACAAGGTTTGAATATTGCTGTCCTTCAATGATTACCAACCAAATTTACTGAGCTTGAGCAATTTTAACAAAAACAATGGATACAGTGGGGAGAACAAGTATTTGATACACTGCCGATTTTGCAGGTTTTCCTACTTACAAAGCATGTAGAGGTCTGTAATTTTTATCATAGGTACACTTCAACTGTGAGAGACAGAATCTACAACAAAAATCCAGAAAATCACATTGTATGATTTTTAAGTAATTCATTTGCATTTTATTGCATGACATAAGTATTTGATCACCTACCAACCAGTAAGAATTCCGGCTCTCACAGACCTGTTAGTTTTTCTTTAAGAAGCGCTCCTGTTCTCCACTCATTACCTGTATTAACTGCACCTGTTTGAACTCGTTACCTGTATAAAAGACACCTGTCCACACACTCAATCAAACAGACTCCAACCTCTCCACAATGGCTATGACCAGAGAGCTGTGTAAGGACATCAGGGATAAAATTGTAGACCTGCACAAGGCTGGGATGGGCTACAGGACAATAGGCAAGCAGCTTGGTGAGAAGGCAACAACTGTTGGCGCAATTATTAGAAAATGGAAGAAGTTCAAGATGACGGTCAATCACCCTCGTCTGGGGCTCCATGCAAGATCTCACCTCGTGGGGCATCAATGATCATGAGGAAGGTGAGGGATCAGCCCAGAACTACACGGCGGGACCTGGTCAATGACCTGAAGAGAGCTGGGACCACAGTCTCAAAGAAAACCATTAGTAACACACTACGCCGTCATGGATTAAAATCCTGCAGCGCACGCAAGGTCGCCCTGCTCAAGCCAGCACATGTCCAGGCCTGTCTGAAGTTTGCCAATGACCATCTGGATGATCCAGAGGAGGAATGGGAGAAGGTCATGTGGTCTGATGAGACAAAAATATAGCTTTTTGGTCTAAACGCCACTCGCCGTGTTTGGAGGAAGAAGAATGATGAGTACAACCCCAAGAACACCATCCCAACCGTGAAGCATGGAGGTGGAAACATCATTCTTTGGGGATGCTTTTCTGCAAAGGGGACAGGACAACTGCACCGTATTGAGGGGAGGATGGATGGGGCCATGTATCGTGAGATCTTGGCCAACAACCTCCTTCCCTCAGCAAGAGCATTGAAGATGGGTCGTGGCTGGGTCTTCCAGCATGACAACGACCCGAAACACACAGCCAGGGCAACTAAGGAGTGGCTCCGTAAGAAGCATCTCAAGGTCCTGGAGTGGCCTAGCCAGTCTCCAGACCTGAACCCAATAGAAAATCTTTGGAGGGAGCTGAAAGTCCGTATTGCCCAGCGACAGCCCCGAAACCTGAAGGATCTGGAGAACGTCTGTATGGAGGAGTGGGCCAAAATCCCTGCTGCAGTGTGTGAAAACCTGGTCAAGAACTACAGGAAACGTATGATCTCTGTAATTGCAAACAAAGGTTTCTGTACCAAATATTAAGTTCTGCTTTTCTGATGTATCAAATACTTATGTCATGCAATAAAATGCAAATTAATTACTTAAAAATCATACAATGTGATTTTCTGGATTTTTGTTTTAGATTCCATCTCTCACAGTTGAAGTGTACCTATGATAACAATTACAGACCTCTACATGCTTTGTAAGTAGGAAAACCTGCAAAATCGGCAGTGTATCAAATACTTGTTCTCTCCACTGTATATATTGCCGTAAGAGGTGTGCAAGGTTGGTATAATCTTATTCAAAATGATTCACAGCTGTAATGGCTGCCAAAGGTGCTTTCACCAAGTATTAACTCTGGGGTGTGAAGACTTAGGCATTCAATACATCCTCATTTGTTATTTTTCATTAATCAGAAATGTTTTCTAAAATGTTTATTTTACTTTGAAAATGTGAGTGGGTTTGTGTAGATCGCTAGGAAAAATAAATCAATTTAAAGGCAGCAAAATGTGAAGACTGTGCAAGGGGTGTGTAGATTTTCATTAGCGACTATATTTTCACCCATTCAAAAAGACAGCCAAAATTAAGTTAAATGTGTTATCCCTATGCTTTTAACCATCTAAAAGCACAACCAAATTCCAATGGAAAAACAATGTCAGATTTTTGGTTTAGTTGTCACCAAATGTCTATCATTGCGCTTTCAACCATTTTAAAGCACAGCAAAGTTCAAATGGGAATACAATGTCAGATATTTTGTTTATTTATACAACAGATTACTGTGCTTCAACTACTAGCAGAACCAAATTACCTTGATTGCAGTTAACATTACATTAAAAGTACATGGTGCAAGTGATCAATGCCGTTCGAGATGCTGCACAGATTATTAGCAATTGTGAAGATCTCCACAGACCTGCAAAAACTATGCATGCTATCTTGAACATGCACGCTTTATATGATTAAATAAGAAGACATTTATAGTTACATTAACCTCAAAATGCGTCCATGGATGTGTTACTCATTTTAAGGTTGAATGTTACATTAGTTTGTAAGATAGCCTTAACTTTAGGCTATTTACTGTATTACAAACGTGATATCGAATTGTGTTTGGTTGTCAACGCATCCAAATATCAACATTTGAAGGAGATTTATCTTCTGCTTGGATAGTTCCATCGGTGCCACTGGCATTAATTCCAGTATGTCTACAAATTAATAGTTTATATGTTGGATACACTAAATAATTGATATGTTCACCCAAAATCTAAATAGAATAAAATCAAACTTTAAAAGCACTTTAAATAATGTTTGATTTGATTTAGTCATATTCTTTAACTTTAGTATTTGGTTGAGACGTTTATCCAACATATTCATTATTAATTTGGAGACAAACTGGAATTAAAGCCAGACTAAGTCAGTGGCACAGATGGAACTATCCAAGCAGAATATACATCTCCTTCAAATGTTGATATTTAGTTGCATTGACAACCAAACACAATTCCATATCACTAAATATCATAACATTTTAAATCAACCAGAACTTGAAACCATAGCACTATTGTATTGTCTATTTTTAGTTGAATTCTAGGTTGAATTGAAACAATAACTGTTGGTGACATTGCCAATAGCATCATTGATGATATATACTGTAAGTGATAAAGTATGGTCACATTTAATTTTCTCTGTGAAACTTACCCGTTGGAACTTTGATAGAAACAGTGAATCTATT